AGCAATTGCCTGGATCAAAGAATACTTGACAAACAGACCACAGTTCGTTAGGCTGACAGCTGTCTAATTAAGGGGGGGGGGGGGGGGGGCAGTTTTCTCTCCATTTCTTTTTACTCTGTACGTTTGACTTCCAGTGCCAGACAGAGTCCTTTCGTCAGCAGAAATACTGAAGATTGGGTGAATCAAAGATGGACAAGAAGCTGAGTACAAAGAGCTGGTGAACTGCTTTGTTGCATGGTGCGGAAACAATCATCTGATCCTTAATTTCAACAAAACAAGGGAGATGATTGTAGAAGAAACAGGAACAAGTTGAAACCTATTAACATCATGGGAGAAGAAGTGGAGGTGGCTGAGGAGTTAAAACCTTGGTGTTCACTTGGACAACAAGCTAGAATGGAGATGCAACTGTGATCTATAAAAAGGGACAGAGCAGACTGGACTTCCTATGGAAGCTTAGGTCCGTCTGTGTTTGCAGCAAGATTCTACATATCTTCTTTAATTCTGTTTTAATGGTAGTATTATTCTATCCTCTGCTGGGGTAACAGCATCAGAGCTAATGACTTAAGCTCAGCAAGCTAATTAAGACAAACGGTGTAGGTGCCAGATCTGCTCGGGGTCCTGCCCCTTCTTATGACGTCAATATATGGCAACTCCACTCGGACAAACTGTAGTGCACCCGTTTGTTAACCCTTTATAGGGAAAGTTTCCATATTTGATCACTTGCATACCCCTTACAAATGAAGTCCCCCCCGTGTCCATCAGTGAGGTCTAGAAGCAAAAGATCTATATCTAGCCATTCAGCAAAGATACTGCTGTAAATTAAGTTGTAAAAAAAAGTCAACAAGTCAAGTATAAAGGTAAAAAGCTAGTTGAAAAGTTCAAAAGTTAAGTTAAAAAGTTAATAAGCCTAGATAACAATTATATTATCAGAATCAGAAATACTTCAATAATCCCAGAGGGAAATTGCTTTTGTTAGATTTATTAGGTTTATAAACTAAAAAAAAGTAAGTGCTGGTATCAGTATTAATGCCTCTAAGGTTATGTTGGATCAAACATTTGCTTTTTTTGAGTGTTTTTCATTAATTTCCTATAAGAAGTTATTTTTCTCAATATATCCGGGCTAGTTGGTCTTTCTTGTTATTAGATCATTTTTGCCATCAAAATATCCATATTTTTTATGTTACAAAGGTAATAAGGTCTTTTCCTGGATTCTAATAACACTATTTGCTTGAAATTTTGATTTTCAAAGTATTTCACTGAGTGCCCTATAAAGGGTTAACACTGGAAGTCCCAGAGATTTTCAGTTTTCCTGCAAGCCCCCTTCCCCTTTGCAAGTTTGTGTATTCACTCTACCTTGCTAAGTGTCCTTGTTGTAATGCAAATAACTTGTGATATGACCAACCCTTCTACATGAGACTGGATAAAGGCTGAAACAAACTGGCGTCAAGACCTTGTTCCAAGCACTTTTCAGTACCTGGCCCTGCAACATCATACCTTTTTGCAGGAATATATTTATAAGTCATATCTAGATCTTTTATTTAGGCAAACCTATTGAACAACCAGATATCATACGGGTCCTAGTTACTGAGCTGAGAACAGGTCATAAACATGCTTTTCCAACAAGGCAAGGCAGAGCCTATTTCTATTGTCCATTCACCAACAGACTCATTTATATTGCAAAGCTCACTATATGAAAGAAAGAATAATTGTATTTTGCCTTGTCTCGCCTTTTTATGTCAGTCAAAATTTTATCTTAGAGAATGACAAACAGTATGCCTTTAGTATTGGAGTAACATTTATGTCACACAAGGAACAGCCCTAGTCTCTTCATCTCACAATGCTGTCTCATGTGTTCTTCCTTTATTGCCTTTTCTTGCGTAAAAATGTTACAATGTTCATTTGCAAGTAGCAGAATTTACTTTGGTGGACTCTCTTTGGTCCCTGTGCACGGCTTGTACAACACATGCTCGTCTGTTGCAGCCAAGTTTGTAGGCCAAGCCAAGCTTGAAATCTCAATAACTCTGAGTCGATCTGTTGTGCCTATTTATTCTGGGAGCTAGACTTCCCACCCACAACCTTTACATTTCCCCCTGCCGCCAGATTGGAATTTGAGCTGGAAACCGGTTTCCAGCGCAAAACCGGCTTTCCGCTGGAAATCGCGAGCGGATGATGTTTGCTTGTTTGCCCTATAGTAAATAGGGCAGATGGTCGTTGTATAAATATTCTTGTCAGCTGATGGAGATATTTTCATTGTACAGATCAGTTATCGTCTGATCACTGCGCTGGTGGCCCCGTTGTCTGAAATCATTCCGGTGTTGGCGGTAAAACACTCCTCAACAGAGAGGCTTGAACTAAAACCAAACTGAAGGGGGTGGAATGGTTCTCCAACGACAGCGCCAATGGGGCATTTACATCTGAAAAGGGATTCATTAGTTGTGAAGTACTGTTGGGGAGACTGGAGCCGAATACCACCCCAAACAGCTCAATTTTGAAAAACAACAGACAGAAGGTATAATTTCAGAAAGTTTTTTTTTATTTCAGATAAAGAAAAGCAGTCTGCATATGGATAAAGCACTAAATATAAAGTGGAAAACAGAAAAGTCTCCAACTTTCCAGTGGGACCAAACAGTGCCATCTTTCGCCTTCTCTGTGGATCCAGGCATTGTGCCAACATCAGCAGTTTTTTGTTTTTTTGCAAGGAGGGGGGTGGCCGCGCACTGTGTCTTCCTCTTCATCTGATGTAGCCTCAGTGTTTGAACTGTCCCGCTCAATCATATAATTGACCACTCGGCCCCTGGTGCGTCTTTGGAGGGGAGGATTAGCTGGTGCAAAAGCAGTCGCATTCTCATCGGAAACATCCTCTTCTTGAAGAATCGGTTGCGCTGTTTTCATTCTGAAATGCTAAGTCTCCAACTGATCCACCATCAGATTCGTAGTCTGACATGCTCTGAAGCATGGCTAAAGCCTCCTGAGCGTTCATCCTTCTTGGTCGCCTTGGCTGTGCCATGGTGAATTCCGGGTGAATTCTGAGTCTGTGTGCTGTGCCTGCTCTATTTATCCCCACAGAAATTCTGTAAATTATTCAACTCCTTGGAAAAGCTCCTTTACAACACAAAGGGAGGCATCTCAAACAAGGAAACCCCAGCACACCAGCTGAAGTCACCAAACCACATTCTTACATTTGCATTTGATTTACAAATGGCGCACACTCCACCAGAGGAGAGCCGTTAACACCTTTGGGGGGGGGGTACTCTATACAAACTAGGTGCAGACTAAAGTCTGCCCTTTGGGACTTTGAGTGGATCGAATCTCTTTTTGATTTTCAGCATATTATTACCTATATTTGCTAGTATTTTACATTTCATTGGCGATCTAAAGCAGCCGAATCATTCTAAATCTTGAAGGAAGTACTGCCCTCTAAGACAGACTGAGCTCTGCCATTTGCCGAGGTGACACAAAAAGTCTCAGTTGATTTTTATTCTTTTTATTAAGATCTGAGAGCAGGGAAGGACAAATGGAACATCTTAAAAAACGACTTTTGTAAAGATTTTTGACAAAACTGTTATCCATCCATTATCTGACACGCTTGTCCCTATTGGGGTCGCGAGGGGTGCTGATGCCTATCTCCAGCTGTCAATGGGCGAGAGGCAGGATACACCCTGGACAGGTCACCAGTCCATCGCAGGGCAACGCAGAGACAAACAGGACAAACAACCATTTATGCACAGATTCACACCTAAGGAGAATTTAGAGAAAACAATTAACCTAACATTCCTGTTTTTGGACTGTGGGAGGAAGCCAGAGTACCCAGAGTGAACCCATGCAGGCTCAGGTAGAACATGCAAACTCTGCGCCGAATAACCCCGGGGCCAGGAATCGAACCCAGAACCTTCTTGCTGCAAGGCAGCAGTGCTACCCACTGCTCCACTGAGCAGCCCAAAACAAATTTATAAGTAGTGTAGCTTAATATGGCTAACAGATCGGGCTAAAAGAAGCTAACCTGTTAGCTACTGAGCACAGCTAGCCACAGCGCTACCCAGCTCCCTCTTTATATCATAGACTTACATTTACTTTGTTCACCAGAAACAGATTTTTTTCTGTTTTGTTATCGATCAGGTAAAACTTCATCAGTCATTAGACGCGCTAACGTTACAGATGCTCCCGACTCTGACGCACACTGACGCTGCGAGGTGTTATTATCATTGTCTGGGCAACCACAATGTTTTACATCATGTGGCAATGTTCAGCCAATCAGGCAGCGTATCGTTGCTGGCATGAAGCAGATCTGGTACCTATACCGGCTCTGTTCTAGGAACTCCTCTAGTAACTCTGGAGATTAACTAACAAAGAAGAATTCTTCCTAAAAATAAAGAAACTTATGGACAACAGTAGGCATCCTTTTCAGAAGATCTTTAAACAACAGCAGAGTGTCTTCAGTCAGAGGCTTCTCCAGATCCAGTGCAAGACAGACAGCTACAGAAGATCCATCCTGCCCACAGCTATCAACACCCGTTAAAAAAAAATAACATATGAGTTACTGGCTTTAATTTCCCTTTGAAAATGAAGTATAATTGAATTTTAATTGAATAAATTAGACTTTAAAAATCTTCATATTTGGAATGCATTTTTTATTCTAATTTACTAAATGTGATTTTTTTTCAAAGGCTGACTATATACGGTTGTCCGACCTGCAAAGCAGCAGCATTAGAAGCTCCTGTAGTTTCAGGTGATTGAACTGCAGCTTGGTTTGTTTATTTACATGCAGTTTCTATTTCCATGATAAACTCTTGATTGTTTACTTGACAGGCAGCAAACAAAAGCAGAATTCAGGGTGAGGCATCAGGAACCTCTAAATGGGGCCTTCTCTGTAAAAACTGTCTGCCAGGAAACACTGAGGGGTTTTTGCTTTGCAAATGAGCAGCGGTGCAGCTGTGCAGTCACCACCGTCAGAAGCGCCACATGATTCATATTTTCTGTTGCTCTTCCTCTTCCGCCCTCCCAGCTGGGACGCCGCCGGTGAAAGGGAGGGCAGAGATATGAAGGCAGCGTAGGAGGAAGTCACCTTTAATCTGCAGTTTCAGGCTGGCAGACACACACAGGTGAGTCCTGCAGGTAACTTTGTTCATTCTCTACACCTTATCTGGAGCTCTATGGAGACTGCAAAAATGATCTGAATGGAAACTCTGACCTGCTGAACTTGGTCTGAGTTCAGTGCATGTTAAATGTTCTGGGATTTATTAAAAGTTTAGGATTATTTACTTTTGATAACGTGGAACATTAAAAGGGATTTAGATTTGTTGCGGCAGCGTTCTGCTTTTCATCATGCCCTGCTGTGGTTTCACACCTGGAAGTACGCTGGAAACACCTTTTCCTTTCCTGCACTCTTCTGCTCTCATGTGGTTTAGTGGTTTCTTCAATAGTTTGAAGGCTTTCGTGGTGTGATCGAAGAAAGGTTTGGTTTAGTTTTTAGCAGATGGGATTAAATACCCTCTGAGATCAGACTTGATGCTATTTAGAGTCATCCCGGCTGGTTTCAGGTACATCCAACGTTCCTTGGACATGTTGCCTGGATGGTTTCTTTGGGTTTTAACATACAGAAGATGAAGCAGAAGATCAGAGTGTTTGGGGTCCAGAAACGTTTCAGATATTCTGATCAGTAGATCAGATCCAAATCTTCAAAGCAGACAATAGAGAAGTGGGAGCAGCTTTCTATTTGGTATCGTGAGGCCATGTTCTGCTTTCTATGAAGTTCTGCTCCTGTGGTTGTGGTTCCATGTGGCCCAATTTGTTTCCATCAGTATTAGTTCATGGGTTGGAACATGATGCCCACCTGACTCATTAAATCGTTATTTAGGAAGACTCCGTGGTGGTCTGCATAGGAATCTCTTTTTATTGATCCATTTGATGCCGAACTTATGCAGAGGATTTTGTTCCATTATTGCTGGAGGCAAAGAAATTGTTTTGCAAAAGGAAATGTGAGAAAAATGAAATCAAGAAATGAAATTTGAAAAACTTCCAAACCAAAAAAAGGTTTTCAGATTAACTCTGCTGTTTTGGCAAATCTTTTTTTAAATAATTGTATTATTTCTTTTTCATATTTTATTCTTTCAACTGTTAATTCATCTCATTTCTCTTTTTCAGCTTGAGTTTTACAAATTGTTTGATTCAGTTCACTTCTCAAGCTTTCCTCCAGAGTGAGGAGTAAAAACGCTTTTCTATTGGTCGACATGGACCTTAGCAACAACATTTTTACTGGTTAATGTGCGCGTCAGAAGCGTGTGCTTGTCTTGGGTTTGAATTGAAGTTAATGCAATTTGAAAAGAATGCAATTCATTAAAATCAATCTGAAAAAAATACAATTTCAAAAGTTAAAAACTGTAAAAAAAAACTTGAAAAATTTAATCTGAAAAAAGGCAAAGTTACTCCAAAAAGCTTTTTTGTTAAATATTTTCATTTTTCGACATTATTTTATAATTTACAAAACATGTTTACTTGCAACAATAATGGAACAAACTTCACTCTATATTCATTTAAAAAGCTTAATATGATGCATTATCTATTATTTATATCCTGTCTGACATTAAACCAGATGAAACCTTTCCTGTTTTGGGTCAATTGGGGATTATTTCTGAATTCCTACTAAGCAAAAGAAACAACAGAGAGGAATTTTTAGGATCTTTTTCACTTCCTCCAAATTCAGAAGTTTTCAGCTTCAGCATTCGGTGGAATTGATATTTAAGCTTTTTGAATGAGTTTAAAACATTTAAATGTTTGCTTCTGGTAGAGAAAATGAAGTTTGGGTCATTGCTCTGCAGTGTTTTTGTTGGAACTAAACATGAAACCTTCAGCATTTGAAAATATCCCTATGAAATGTTGGCTACTTCTTTTTTTTTTTCATTTTGGGAAGTAAGTTGTTTGAGGCGTTGCCTTCAAACACATCCTGGGACTTCAGAAATTGTGTAAAGGCTGTTAATATTAGAAAATATGAACTTTGGATTATAAGAAAAAATTATTAGGTATTTAAAAAAATAGAAATAATCCCTCTAATGCCACAAACCTAAAGCAGGAACACTGATATTGAATTTTAAACAGTGACAAAACAATATTTACTCTTCTGTAAAATGTACCAATCATGGTTTCAATCTGAAAAACTCACACGAAGAGAAAAGACAATTAGGAGAAATTCATTGATTCAATAACTTTGTCTTTGGCGCTCAGTCCTCGGCAGGAAACATAAACTTAATTTTGATAGATATGCATGAACAGGAGCAAAGAATAGGGCTGTTTCCCCCCCCAGGCCTGAAACTGGAGGTGGAGTGGAGATAGATGAATTTGGTCAGTCTGTAGACTGCTGGCTAGAGAGACGGTATGCTGAGCTTTATGGAGAGATCCGGTGGACTGCGTGAGCTGATATTAGAGCTTCCCCAAGGAACTTGGAAGTCCAGTTTAACACAGGTTGAGAGAACCTGTCCATGATGAGCAAGCATTAAGCGACAGTGGAAAGGAAAAACTCCCCGTTGGGGCAGAACATGCTCCACATGGTGGTCTTCTGCCGGACCGGTTGAGCTGAGACAGGGGCGTCATCTGAATGAAGTCACAGCGCATCCGCCGCCTGCGCACAGGACTAGACTAGAGTGGATTGGAGGCCTTTTAAGATGAACGTTGGATGCCAATTGGCTTTCATGGAGGCGTGGTTCAAAGCTGATTGGCTGTGTCGCAGGTGGATGAAGGAAAGGAATGAGTTTCTTCAGTTGAACTTCCGCCTAGGCTCCATACCAAAACAACGTTAACTTTAACAATAAACATAGAAGGCATGAAGGCATAAAAACAATAAAAAGTTAAACTAAATAAAACCAGTTACAATAACAAATATACTCAAAGTCTTTCTCATGTTGAAAGGATAATCAGAAAAGTAGTTTTAAAGCACAATTTAGTAATTAGTCAATAAAGCAGTTTATCTAATGAGAAGAGAAAGCTCTGCTCCCTCTGACCTTCCTCTGACCTCGGTTGAAGGGGACAGAAACAGAAACGCTTTAAACACTTAAAGACAAACCTCTGAAATTTAAAAGTAACTTCAAAATGCATGAGAATCAGGCACAGAGGTGATGTGCTCTGTTTTTAGAGTGGCTGAGCTACAGTCTTATAAACCCTCTGCAGACGAGTCGGCAAAGACACCAACATGGAGTACATAACAAAAATCTAAGATGGATGTAATAAATGCATGGGTTATGGTTTCAGTCGCCTGGACAATTTGACTGTACGATCAGGTGAACTGTAAAGTGCCTTGAGGTGACTTGTGTTTTGAATTGGCACTATAGAAATAAACTGAATTGAATTGAAATTGAATTGAAAATTGAATTGGACAGGAAAAATCCCCATTTAACTTTAAACCTATATTACTGTCATGGGCGTGCTTCGGTGGCGCAGTTGTTAGCACGCACAACCCATGTTTGGAGGCCTCAGTCCTCGATGCGCCCGACCCGGTTCGAGTCTGACCTGTGGTCCTTTGATGCATGTCTCTCCCCCTCTTTCATACCCCCTTTCCTGTCAATCTACTGTCAGGAAGACCAGTCACTAGTGCTGTTAAAAAAATATATATATATATCTTAATGGTCTCAAATCACATTGTTAACTCACAGGACCCACTTAGCTCAAACAACAATACTTCTGTTTTCACATCATTATATTCAAGAGGTTTTGAACCAACCAAGCATTCATTAAGCCGTCCTTCTTTCTAGAAAAAATATTTTCTTAGGCCCCGTCCACACGAAGTCAAAACGAACACGAAACGCTGATATTTTCCAAAACGTTTGCCGTAAAGACGGAGACGTAAAATAAATGTGAGCATCCACACGAATGCATGAAAACGCTGCAAAATGTATGCAGGGCCTGTAAGTGGCGCTGTGGTGCCAAAGCAAAAATAAGCGACAAAATGTGTGTCTCTCCTCCAACCATGTAGCTACTCTGTACGCAGTAAAATGCGACCGCAAATCTGATGTCTCAAAGCAACAGATCCGATAATGTCATCGCCTTCACGACTATAAGGCGCACTTAAACGTCTTTTTTTTCCCTCAAAATGTGCGGTGCGCCCTATGGTGCGGTGCGCCCTATGTGTGTTGTAACTGCGACTTTTGAGACCACCTCATTGAGGAGATGATGAAAGAGTGGCTGAATGTAAGGAGACCAGGTGTTTTTTTTTCCACTCATCACCATCGCTGTTAATATGTGACTCCATGCGTGCCCATCTCACAGCTGATGTGAAAAACATGATGAAACAAATTAAGGTTGTGCTCGCTGTTCAACCGCTCGACATCGGTGTGAACCGGACCCAGCAGGTGCAGCAGAAGCAGCGTGTTTACATGCAAAGTCAATGGTTGACGCGCGTATAGGTACAGCAAAAGGTCCCGCAGCGCGTTTTGAGCCGCAGGTGCAGCACGTCGCGCTGCTGCTGCTCAAGATGGAAAAATGGAAGTTTTGCTGCTGGACGCGCCGCATCAACCAATCAGAGAAGCTGATCTGGGAGCTGACAGCGAGACAGACACAGCGCTCTGATGACATATGATATTAACGCAAATGAAAAAGGCTGGATGGATGAGGAGATGATGCAGGCAGGTGTATGTGAGGAGACCAGGTGCTTTTTTCCACGCATCACCATTGCTGCGTGCCCATCTCACAGCCGATGTGAAAAAAAGGTGAATCAAATGAACGCTGTGCTCGCCGTTATCCCGGGGGGTCTGACAAAGGAACTTCAACCGCTCGACATCGGTGTTAAGCGGCCGTTCAAAGTAAGGCTGCGAGCAGCGTGGGAGCGATGGATGACAGACGGAGACCACAGTTTCAGGATAAGTGGAAGGCAGCGCCGGGCAAGTTACACCACCGTTTGCGGATGGATTGTAGATGCTCTCACAGCGAAGAAGGGGAAATTGGCATGTCTGATTTAGCGCAGCTGTTTAATTCAGAAACAGAGGATGATGACTTTGATGGGTTCGATTAATACTTTGTAATAAATACATGAATAAAGCACAATCATACTCAGTTTTGCTCCCGCTCTATTTTTCTACCTGAAAACTTAATTCAACAGCCGCCTCTGGGCGCGTCT